GTATGCGTTCTTATCAGTTTATTCAGGGTGACTTATTATTTGTCTAATACCTTTACTATACTTGTTGTAGATATATATCCATAGAAGTGGTCGCACAGCTCATGCGCATAATGAAGGTATCAGTTTGATGCTATGCAGTCCAGAAGAATCATCATTTTACCGAAAAATTTGCCAAGACTTGAAGAAAGGTTAGTTACATTTACATAATACATCATTTACTTTGTGTACTTCAATACTTCATTTTCTTTTATTTTATTTTAAAAGCCAAGGGGATAGCTAATTTTCTAAATAAGTTGACATAGATTGGTTTAGATTAAATACATTGTTTAATTTAATAATAATAGAATTACTGTTTAAATATATAATGAAATAAAGCTTTACAATAAATAATTCGATAAATTTTTTCACGATATATCTGATATAAATGTTTATTTTTTACAAATATCACATTATTGATTTGAATGGTTAAAAATGAATTTTGTGACCATATGGATATAAATAATATACGTATATTTAATACAGAAATAATAATTTAGTAAACTAAATTCTGTTAAGTTTCATTAAAAGTAGCTACCAGGAGATGCAATAATTCTAGTAATTCAAATAGGTACAAAAACTAAAATAACAGAGTCAGTTAAAAGTGGTGATTCTATAAATAATATAGGTATAACTAAGTGTACTTGAACATTTAAATTAACTAAAGATACAAATACTGCTAGAAGTAGTAAGGCAGAAAATAAAACACGGAAATAATAATTAAAATTTGCTGAAAGTAATAGTTACAGCAAGCTTTAAGTAAGTAAGGCCACTTGAATGAATTTAAAGGTAAGAATATAATTATATTAGGTTCTGCTAGAAGTAGTAATTCTATTGTGTAAAGCAATAATTCTTACAATGTCATCTAAAAGATTTGCTTTAGTAAGATTTCAAATATTTTTGTAACTCAGGTATTTTAAAAATTACAGTATAGAATGATTTGACGGTTTATAATTACTAAAAATTCGATTTTGACATACGTATAGCATGATTAAGATCCATTTGATTGGTTGTCGATCCTTGAATTTTTATTGGCTGATTAGGTGAACATTCTATATGAAAATACAATCGGTTATAAGAAAAGTCGCCAACAAATCTGATTATATCAGATTAAATTTGACAGAAGCAAGTAACGTCAGAGAACAAAATTTCTTTAAAATTTCGTTAGCTGTTTATTATGTAAATTTGTTACTTTCAAATAGAAAGTAAAAAATTTACATAATAAACAGCTAACGAAACTTTAAAGAAATTTTGTTCTCTGATGTTGCTTCTGTCAAATATAATCAGATTCGTTGGCGACTTTTCTTATAACTGATTGTATTTTTGTATAGGATGTTCACTCTAATTAGCCAATAAAAATTTAAGGATCAACAGCCAATCAAATGGATCTTTAATTATGCTCATACGTACAATATATATATATATAGTTCACATATATATATATATCTAAAATAGTTTACTATTATTGTTATCTAAAAAAATTTAACTAGTTTTTTTTTTTTTTTTTGATTTAAAGATGTTTTATATAAGCATATTTTGAAAATTTTTTTTAATAATAAAAAATTTTTATTTTTTTTTGGTTTTGCATGATTATATAAATTTTTTAAAAGGGCATGCTCATGAAATATACTCTAAAACATCATGTCTCAATTCTACTTAGTTATATCGAAATCAATATTTTTGTTGTAATAAACTTTTTGTCAAAATCACAAATAATGTCTACAACTAAACTTTCTAAACTTTTACCTGATCATGAAAAATATCATCATAATTTTATAATACATAAAACAAAATCTTACATTTTTTGGTATTCAATACAAAATAAAGATGTTTTTTCTAAATCAGGTCTTAAATATACAAGGGCACCTAAACATTATGCTATTCTGGATAACTTTAGCATTATTACAACATGAGAAAAGTTACCAAACTTAAATACTATTAAAGGTCACATTAAATATATAGCTAATCGTCCAGTTTATTATGTAAATTATGGGCCAAACTTTGAATTAGAGATAATATCAAATCATTTTTCTAGTGATGCAGCAACAAAAACTCAAAGAGTTAATTCTTTTTATTATAAATATATAATACTATATTTATAAAATTAAATTTATAGTATATTAATAATTATAATTAGACCATAAATGAATTCAAAGAAAAGTCAGAAAATAGTCGAATGTCAGGTCCTTTACTTTTTGGTCTTCATCTTAAATAAATTCAAAAAAATCGACCACAATCAAATTATATTAGACCTTTAAAACAGTTTAATGAACTAAGTATTTCTACTAAAAAGGCTCATGCAAAAACTGTTGCAAAAAAGATTAAAAAAGATTTTAATCAAATTGCAAAAGAAAATTATCATCCAAATGATCAAGTTATACATAAAGAATTATCTTATATAGTTGCAAATACATTTTTTCATATAGAATTTGAATCCCAGAATATTATAGAAAAAAACAAACATGAGTCAGCAATAGTACAAATAATTGATAAGTACCAAATATCAAGAGATGGATATTATGCTTTATCGGCTATACAACCTAATTTACCTTGTGATTATGCAGTTTCTGATCAATGTACAATTTTAACATCAAAAATAGCTAATTATATACCAATTGAAATATTTAATCTTTATAGTCAAGATAATCTTTTATTAAATGAAGAATTTTAATTAGTTAAAAAAGTTGCACGACAAAGTATTAAAGATATATTTTTATATTTGCATCCTTATTTAGTAGCTAACAAAATTCTTCATTCTTCAAAACCTGTTATTAATTTACAGATCTCTGGTGATGACCATAATGTTAGGAAAAAAATTAATCATGTAATAATAACTCTTGCTATTTTGGATCAAAAAAAAAAAAATATTTACCTGATAATCACCATACTATAGTTATATATTTGGATATTGAGAAATATAAACTATTAAAAAATGCAACACAGCTGCTTGTTGATGAATTAAATGAATTACAACAATCTGGATTTGTTGATAAAAATGGAATTAATTGGTCAATCAATTTATATTTTTCTTCTGATTGGAAGTTTTTAGTATTATGTTTAGGTATCAACATAGCAAATTCAATTAATTTTTGTCTCTGGTGTCAATGCAAAAAAAACAGACTTAGGCAATTTAAAAAAATAATCATAGACAATTGAAAAAGATATGAATATAATTGCATCTAATTATTTAGCATATCCTGGTCACATTCGAGCTCCATTATTTCCAATAATTCAATTAAATCACTGGGTTCCAGATGAACTTCATATTATACTTAGAATAACTGATCGATTATGGTCTTTGATTATTTCTGAATTAGAACAAAATAGAGAATATGATAATGATATGTGTGAAACAATTTGTAATGAAATGAAAAAGTGCAAAGTTAAATTTGAATTCTGGAAAACAACAACTAAATGGGAATATACTTCACTCCTTGGGCCGGATAAACTTAAAGTGCTACGAAATTTCGATTTGTCTGCAATTTTATCAGCTAATTGGTCTAAAAAAATTAGACTTTTGTAGAACAAATTTGATCAATTATATTGCGCAATTAAAAATCCAGATATTGATTTTACCCAATTTGCTTTAGATGCTAAAGAATAGGAAGCATCCTTTCTTCAGCCTGATATTACTAATCCTAATAATCAAGATATTGTAAAAGAAGGTTTATATCAACCATCTGATATTATATCATATATCCATGTTTTAGTTTATCATGTTCCGGAATTTGTAAAAATACATAAAGAGTTTGGGCTAAGTTCATTCTTCTGTTCTGCAGTAGAGAAGAAGAACCACCAGCAATCAACTTTTTTTTTTGCCAGACACTTAAAGATGGGGTAATCCGAATCAAAATATATATGCAATCAAAGAAATCATGAATTATGAAAATTATCGACTTTATTATATTTATGATAATTACTCTTTTAATAAACCAATAAAGGTTCAAATAGTATAGTTTACTTTGAAGGTAATATTATAATATTTTATTATTAAAAAAATTATATTCTTCGTATATATATATTTGAACAAAAATCTAATTGTATATAAAATTTTAATTCATATAGATTTTGATTAACCCAGAATAGTCGTCTCCCGTTTGTTCTTGTTCGATTGAACAGTCAATTTTTCTTGTGGTTGTTGATTGGGGTACTCACTTTTAGAATTATTGGTAGGAAAACCATTGACCGCTTTTATATATTAGATTCGAAATAACAGCAACTAAAAATACCTGAAACCCTATAACATTAGAAAAGCAAGGTTCATTAGTTTTTTTAGTGAGAATAAAAATATTGTTGCTAGAAATAGATATCATTTTTCTATGTACTGTACGTACAGTACATCTTATTTTTTTGCATATATAACTTGCGACTTTGATATTTTTTTTTTTTATTTTTCAAAATAATGGCTTAAAAATATGCCATATATCCTAATATAGACAGTGTATAGAACAGAGCTCAAATAGTCGATCTGCATCCAAGTAAGGTTAGATTTTTAAATTGCATATATATGTCGTGCCCCAAATAACAATTTTTCCAGATGACAATCTGGCCAAAATTATAAATTAATTAGCCCAGACGTTAAGGTTAGATTTGGGCAATTTTAATTTGGGCTGTCCCAATTGGCAATCAGGACAGGATTATCATTTGGGGTACAATATATATATATATATCAAATTTTCATATGTAAGAGGTCAATTTGCGTATATTTTTTAGTAATAATAAGTAAATCATATATGGATAAAACTTGCCTTTATATAATTGTTATTTTATAGATCACACATACTTTAAGATCTGCATTATTTTTTTTGTTTTTTTTATCGTCAATAGTAAAATTTAAAAAAAAATCAGTTTGTTAAATAAAATAATTCGAACTATTATTCAACAAGGTGAATTTTTTAAATTTTACCAGTGCGAATTCTTTACTAAACTTATCAATTAGAAACATAAGAGCAAAAATATTTTTTAATATCTGTTTTCTGGATTTTTTTTTTACCGGTCAGATGAGTTGATAACACTAGTCAAAATAAAGAAATCAGTGGCAGTCCACTCCAGTTGAACCTATATTAATATAAATTCAAAAATATAGTTTCAACTAGTTTGAACTGATACTGAATTTTTAGTGTAATCACTGATCGTTACTTTAGATCTCTGGAGAGCACCTTCAATCGATATGTTTATAATAAGCCACTCAAGTTTGTAGCATTTATATTCATTTTATATTGTGCGTAATAATTAATTCTTAAACACTTTACTTGATTGTTGGGATTAAAATTTATTAGAATTTGGGAGACCAATTGTTATTTTGATAAGCAAGCATTTATATATGAGGACGCTCACAGCATAAACAGAGGATGGGACTATATATTATATAGTTCCATCACCTGCTTTTGCTATATACATGTATGCAAATTTTGATTTTTACTATTCTGAACTTAGAAAATAATACATAACCGTTGATTCTCACTTTCCCGAAACCTATCTTTCCGAAATACCATTTCCTCAACCACATAATTCCGATATCCCTTTTTCCCGACAAGACATATTTCTAATAGTATATTTTACAGATAGAAATTTTTTACTGAATTTTTTTTCCTGACCTGAATTCGAAAAGATAAATGTTTTCCCGAAAAGATATTTCTCAAAAAGAAATTACCCAACAAGATGTCTTCTCGATTGAACAAAATTGTATAAATCAGGCCAACCAGGCTAACTTTGTCGGTAAAATGGTTGTCAGTGAAATGGTTGTTAGCAAATTAGCTTATACTTTTTTTCAGGTTATCAAGTGACTCAGAGTTTATAAAATAGCTATAAATTCGGTAAAACATCCTTTGGTAAAAGAGCTTTCAGTAATATATTTTCAAAGAAATAGGATATCAGAAAAATGGCATCTTTTTAATATTCGGTGAAATGGACATTGCAGATAAATGACTTATCTAAAATTTATTATCAATTAAATGATATATCGGTAAAATGAGACTTTTGGAATTATATCTTGTTAATAAAATAGGATGTCAGTATTATGACTTCGGCATAATGGTATTCAGTGAATTGATTTTGGGAAATTAACCTGTAATCCATATATAACACTGGTCAATTGTCTTGTTGAATGGCACGATTCGAATGCTATTCAAACAGTCATTCTTACATGACTTTGCGGACATGTATGTCTGTGAAATCATGTGATAGTGTTGAATGGTAGTTCGAATGGCTATTTGAATAGCATTCAAATCGTGTCATTTAACAAGACAATTTTTTAAATTTTACCAGTATAATTCATACAAATTATGATTAGTATTCTAATTGCCCAATAGTATAAGCATTTTACTTACATTATCGATCGTTAGGGTTTGTGTAAAAATGTAGTGTAAATGTATATTGGAGAGTCTATTGTAGTTATAATGCATTAAATATGCATCATCAATTAGTAGTCTAATAAAGCCAGATCATATATAAATAGAAATAGAGTAATTAATAAGCAAATATATCTTGTTAATAAAAAAATCATAACAACAAACATGCTAACCCTACTGCGCTACATCCTAGTCGCTTCAAGTGTTGGTTAAAGTGGATACTGGTATGAAGAAAAGTCTCGTCCAAAAAGTGTATAATGTTTCAATATGTTAAAAACGGAAGTTTTTAGAGGAACAAAACTTCGAGATTTTACTTGGCAAACTAAATTAAAATTACCAGATTTTCAGAAAACTCGTATAAAATTGTTTTTTCACATAGTAAGATATCAATCTAGTTCTATGGCTTGTATTAATTCCAATAGTTTGTCAATTTCTTTATTCAGAACTTTAGTAACAGTCTTATTCATGCTAGTTGCAGTATTGATAAAATAATTTATAATAAGGAAGATCATATAAGTTTATATATTCGAATTAAGATTTATGTATTACTTATTTGATAACAAATATGTCTTACGAATTTTAATTCTGAAACCCCTTATTATACGAGATTATGTGAACTTCTTTAAATGATAAATAGATAATTTGATGGTACAAAAATAAATCTGTTCCAGCCCGAAATAAGCAAACAAGATTCTAAATTATACTAAACCGTGCATAATTGTGTTAAAATATAACCAATATGTAAATACTTGCGATGTTGAATTATTTACTAAATTTAGCTAGCCACATAATATTGATATAAAATCGATATAAAATCGATATAAAACCTTTTTTGTATAATTTTTTTACCGATATTATATTGTGTTGATAAGAATTGCTAGAGCTATGAGTATATTTAGTCAAGCAAAAAATTTCATCTCTAATATTGAGCGATAGGGCCTCTAACTATTTATAATATATAGTTTTCTTAGGTGCAGTCATAACATTTAAAGGTAGGCCTAGGATCCAACTGTTATCTTCCTAAAATTTATTTTTTTCTATATTTATAAATGATTTATAGAGGGTGTGATCGTTGCTATCATTGTCTGCATAGGGAGGAGGGAAGGCAACACGGACTTCCCTAGGTTTAATCCACTAAACTATGAGATGAGAAATAGTTTGAATGCATCTACCTTAGATTTTATATAATATAAACTGTTATAACTCTTCATTTTGCTTCTGGTTTTATATCCACCTCGAATTTTTCAACCAAATACTGGAGAACAATATAAAATTGTTTCAATTTGGTAAAACTTTTATTTCTTTTTATATCAAATTTTTCGCTAAAACAGAAGCAGATCCTAGTCAAAAAAGCATACCTGAAAAAAGGTAAATTTATGTTTTTTTTTTTTTTTAAAAAAAAAATTGTAGTAATTATCTTATTAGATTCGGTTTAGACAAGATATCCAACCAGATTCTTGCTATAGCTGAAAAACAAATGTAGATATGTTCTACATGAGATTGCCAAAAATATATGAATATTCGAATGTATTAACGTATGAAAATTTAGCTAGCATTTAATCTTTAGGCGAGTATATATTAATTCATTTTTATTCGCTTTTATTTATTGATTTTAATTTTTTTTACTTTATTATTATTATTTCTAAATATATATTTTTTTTAATTGGTAAATGGATACTGATTCTAAAATGACCATCAGTTTTTTTTTTATTCTTTTATATATTTTCTTCAACACTTAATTGATTCGCAAAGATACTTCGTGACTCGTGAAATTCGTTATAATGAATGTCTAACAGAAGAACTTCATATATCTAAACAATATAGAAATAACTTGAGATACAAGCTTGTTATGTCAAAAAGTTTACGAATAATCTGTGCTTCTACCAGGCTAAGTATGATAGTCATGAAAAAAACCCCTGAAAAAATGTAAATTAATGCTGCTTTTTTTTTTTAAAAAAAAAAATTGTAGTAATTATAGATTCCTGCCATAGCTGAAAAACAAATATAGATGTGTTCTACGCAGGGATTGCAAAAATATATATATTCGAATGTATTAACGTATGAAATTTAGTTAGCATTTAATCTTTAGGCGAGTATATATTAATTCATTTTTATTTGATTTAATTTTTTACTTTATTATTATTATTATTATTATTTCTAAATTTTTTTTCGCTTGTTTTTTTTAATTGGTAAATGGTAAAATGACACATGTCATTTCACGATTCACAAATCAATTCTGCAATTCAGTTTCTTTTTATTCTATTATATATTTTCTTCAGCGCTTAACTAATTCGCAAGGATACTTCGTGACTGTGAAATTCATTATAATGAATGTCTAACAGGAGAACTTCACATACCTAAACAAATATAGGAATAACTTGGGGAACTTGAGAAACTTGGGGATACAAGTTTGTTATGCTGTCTACCCACCAGGCTAAGCATAACGGTTATGAAAAAACCCAAAAAAAGATAGATTTATGTTGTTTTTTTTTTTTTAAAAAAAATGGTAGTAATTATCTTATTAGATTCGGGTTAGACAAGACATCCGATTAGATTTCTGCCATAGCCGAAAAATAAATATGGATACGTTCTATGCGAGAATTGCAAAAATATATGAATATTCGAATGTATTAATGTATGAAAATTTAGCTAGCATTTAATCTTTAAGCGAGTATATATTCATTTTTATTCGCTTTTATTTATTAATTTAATTTTATTATTATTATTATTTCTAATTTTTTTTCGCTTGTTTTTTTTTAATTGGTAAATAGAATTGGTAATGGATATCGATTCTAAAATGATACATGTCATTTCACGATTTATGGATTAATTCAGAATAAATATAAATTTAGAAATGATGCGGAACATGAATACCAGAATATATTAAAATACTATGAATATAGTGAAATGTATCGAAATAATAGTTTATGCTTTTAAAAAATAAAAGCCAATATGTAATTTTAATTGAAATATAAATCATATATGTTGCTAATTTATATACAAAATTTTCTGTATAATCTTTCTACTTGTAGCTATTTAATTAAAAAATAATAATTTTAATATTGTATGTTTAATAATTTGAATGCTAATAATTACTTACTTTAAAAAGCGATAACTTGCTAATAATGACCCCTTGCAACTGAAAATTTAAAACTAATATACCCGGCCCAAATCATATGTCCATGCATATCAGTTTTAACTTTCTAATACCAATCCACTATGACTTGTTTAATTTTTGGTTTGATTTCTTTTCGTATTAATCCCGGTGCCCGTTCACGAGGAGGTTGAAATGTAACATAGATTCGTTATTCATTGGCAAAGTATTTAACTCCCATTGCTCATCATTTAAGATTTGACTAAGCAAAAAATATGCATTGTCACCTCGAAATAAACACCTTACTCTTCCTGATTTTGAAAATCGACGATAGATATAGCCTTTGAATACACTATAAAATTGACTTAGTATACAAGGCATTAATACTCTTTGTGAATCTGAACATATAAAATGTGCTTTTAATCGATCTTGAATAATTTTAATAAAGATTTTTTTTAATTCTATACTAGCTTTTAAAGGAAGTTTATAAATGCCAGGAGGATTTTTGTTATAACCTTTAACAATAGTATGATGTCGCTTTAAGCCACCTTTTGTTTTATAGCATTTTTCACAAACAGAGCAATAATATAAAGGTTTTTCTACTAATAGCTAATTATAGTATATAACAAATTTATTGTTTTTTATAATATGTAATATGTAAAATAAAATTATTAAATTGTTATATACATACAGATATTTTACAAAGCCAAATCTATTTAAATACATTCTACAAACAAAATACAAGTAAATAAACTATTATATTAGAAAATATATATAAATTAAGCATACTTTTCACAATTAACAATTACTTTTACTTTTTTTTAATGGGTTCCAGGGATGGATGATTGGTTAGACATGATAATTCATATATTAAAAATTTTGTTGATAATGATTTTAAAATGTAATAGCCAATTAGATGATTTGTTGATCAAAAAATAAACTCTAAAAAAAATAATTTACATATATATAAAAAAGGCCCAAAAATGAAATCAGCCTATATGGAATTTTACAGGCTGTAAATCATAGTAATTTTCTTTTTATAATTATATTTCTTTTCTATAATTTTTTTTTTTATCTTTTATTTGTTATATATTGTTTTTTGTTTATACTTATTATATAGCTTATAATAAGTTTATTTTATTTATTTTTAAACTTGTATTATATTTTAGAGAATTGCTAATTTTCACCGGAGGTAAAATTCACCGGGGTGCTATATCTCAAAAACGTACTAGCTAACACCTCTCAGGGGTACTAAGTAAAAATGTTCAGAACCCCAAAAACCTTATGCCAACTAAAATTGGGGTCCTAATGTCTAACCCTAAGTTTTGTCAAAATTTCACCCTAACCCTAAAAACATAAGGGTGGTGATTTTACCTCCGGGTAAATATAGTTATTTTCTATATTTTATATAATAATAATAAATTTATAGTATAAAGTTAAATATAATTTTAAAATTGTTTACAAAAGATGAAAATTTGTTATTTTTGTAAATTTTTTTTATTTTTTTCAAGTTTACCAAATTTTAAAAAAATTATAATAAAAATAATATAAAAAAATATCAACTAATCAAAATTTATAAAAATAATAAATATATGCCAAATTTTTCAAAATTAAAAATTTTAAAAATCACTCTTTTAGGTTTGTTGTTTAAACAATAAATAAAAAATTTAAAAGAGAGATTTTTATAGTTTTAGAAATCATTTTTTCTAATTATTATTTAAACCAACTTTTTTTAACTACAAGTTAAAGACTTAAAATCAAAAAGTCTAAACTATCTGTTATTTTTGTATACAAACTGTTGTTAATAAAATTTTTAAATATAATATACTGAAATACAGGTATTATAGATAGTTTGTATAGAGGTCAAATTATTTTTTTTTTGTTTTGAGATAAACTTTATTTTATATTTAATATTCAAACTAAAAATAATAACAAATATATAAAAATACAAATAAAAAAAATAGAAAGGCAAAATAAATAATACAAAAATACTCTTTAGTTAGTATTTTATAACAAATATCTTCTTTTTTCTTAATTTATATTTTGTATCAGATTTTTTCTTAAAAAGTAGAAATTTTAATTTTTTTTAACAAAAGATCAATATTGCACATATTTTAAATCAAAAAGTTTAACAACAATATAACCAACAAAGAATGCAACAAATATAATATTTTGCTAATAATTTTTAATTTAGAAACACTAGAGTAGTAGGCTGTAAGATGAAAACCTAATATATTAAAATTTTATAAAGATATATATAAAATTTTCTAAAAACTTTGCTTATAACTTGAATAAGAATAAAAAAATTATTTTAATAGGTATATAAATAAAGATATACTAATCATATTAGCAGATTTTTGAAATTATTATTAAAAATTCTAATAATAATTAACTATGAATAATTTTTGATTTACTGGTCCGTTTTCGATGAAACAATTACCAAAATGTTCATCTCAATGAAATGATTCTATTGAACCCAAAATCATCAAAATCTAACTACAGAATCCTGATATCATTAATGATTTGTTTCATTTCAGGTATTTTAGAATTGATTTAATCAATTCTAAAACACCTGAAATGATACAAATCTCTATCGATCTCAGGATCTTGAAATTGGATTTTGTCAATTTTGGGTCTATTAGAATCGTCTCATCGAGATGAACATTTTGGTAATTGTTTTATCGAAAACGGACCAGTAGATCAAAAGTTATTCACAGTTAATTATGATTAGAATTTTTAATAATAAATTCTCAAAATCTGCCGATATGTATTTTGTAATTATATAGTATATAATTTTTAACTCTTGATATAAATTAAAATGTATTTTAATTTTTAATTTTTTTTTTTTTTTTTTTAATTTAATCTTAGATTAATTAATTTAATTAATTAAATTAAAAATAAATATAGCTACTTGAATATAACTAGATTTATAAATACTAACCAATAACCAAAAAAATCAAATTTTTAGTAAGTTAAGAATCCAAAGAAATAAGCTTCAGCTAAGCCAGTTAAGTTTTTTGTTTAGTTAGATTAATAGTAACTAGAGATAGAAATTTATAAATAGCTTAATCTCAAATAAACAAAGACAGAATTGCCAAATTATAAAAAAAAAAAAGATTTTTAATTTTTTAATTTTAAAAAAAGTTATTAGCAAATTTGATGTCTTATACTGTCCTATACTGTAAATTAAATAAGTTAATATACTAAATATTATATATAAAATTTTAGAATTTATTTAGGAATAACCATAGATGAAATTAACCAGTATATAGTTTTGTTTACTTAATGACATGAAACAAATTTTATAATAAAAATTTAAGATACAGTACACCTCTCAAACCCGATAGGCATGGTGGGAGGTTATCGGATTTTAAGATACTAATGGCTTGCTAGTCACGTGATTATAAATAAATATAATTTGCTAGATTATATTTATTATATATCTACTTGGTCACACAAAGCTTGATCTGAGCCAATCAAATTGATTTACATTACTCGACAAACCCGATATCTTATAGGTATCTGATTATTTGAGTATCAGTTATCAGAAATGGCAGATTATCAGGTTTGAATTATGGAACAAGTATGGTAGAACAATTTTTTATTAACAGGTTATCGGTTTTGACAGGATCGGTTTTGGGAGAGTAGACTTTTTTTTCTAAAAATTCTTTATTTTCATTATACAAAGATTTTGCGATTTGATTGGCTAATCATATAACTGGTGAATTTTACAACAGGGTGAAATATCATATCATTTGCAGATCTGTTATACAATTCATAAAGAACTTTTTTATATTGTTTTAAAGTACTTTTTCGGAAAGCTCATGTTACTTCCCCTTTAAAATTGAAGGTTTAGAGCAGTATTTTAATAATATTGAGTGAATCCCAGTGAATCCCACAACTTTTATATATAGTTTTGCCCATAAAAGATCTATATAAAATAAAGGAATGCACTAACTGCCAAGCCACCGAATCTTGTAAATTCTGTGCGTTAAAGGATAAAAAGTGGAACGAAGCTAAAAATAACGGTTTGGTGAAGGAAACGTGAGTAGAAGGTATTATTTTATGTAATACTTGTTACATAGAATTAGTACAAAACCCATTAAGCAGAAATCCAAAGAAAGCAAGAATCGTTGAAGAACAGGTAAGTATGTTAGAGGAGGTAGAAGAGAGGAGTAAGATCGACTTTACTAAGGCTATTAAGTCTATAGCCAAAATTCTTTATGAGAGGGAGCATGTAAAAAAGGAAGCTCCTATATATGTTTTTGATGAGATGCAAGAATTATTTCAAGAAACTGACCCAACTCTTGAAGATTTTTTTAAACAGCTTTATTCTGCAGCTTGGCCACTTGAATGTAATGAGCAAACAATGGGCTGTATGAAGAAATTGATAGTTTTAATATGTTATCTTCTTGTCTCTTTAAATAATACAAAAATTAACTCCTTTAAGTTTGATCTTGTATTTTATCTAGATTCGGCAGGAACAAGTAAAGAAGGCTTGAATACAATGGCGAGTCTCGGCGTTACCACAACGTCGCAGGCAGTAGGTCAGCATAAAAGAAGGATATCAGGAGCACATGAAAAATATGCGGAGAATGCATTTTTTCAGCAATTGGGAAATGCACTTGTGCTAAATGTCGACGACTATCATAATATCCATATTTCACAGCAGCCTAACATTACAGCTACTTCTAGACCAACACATATGGCAACAATTTTAATGAACTCGTGTTTAAGACCTGCAATATCATATAATAGAATAGTTAATCCAAGGTTCATAGATAGCTATTTGATTATGAAACATTTTGATAAACGATTTATCGTAAATCTTGGTGTTTCATATCACGATCGAATGTGAAGCAGGGAACAAGCTTGTACTGATAAAGAAGTATTAGATAGGCTAACAGTACATAGATATGATGATAGGCTTGCAGAGAAAAAAAACGATCGACATATACGCAACTCAATTCTTGTTGATTTCGTTAAAAAAGAATTGAAAAATATAGAAGAATATATTGATGCCCTTCGAATTGTATACGACCAAGAGCCAATGCGACTGTATCTTTCTAATTATGCTGTTCCTACTGTTGCGGATTGGTCTGGGCAATTTTTTATCTGTAAAGTCATTGCACAACGGCTTCTTCTCAACAATGAAAGTATCCCTCAGTTTGTTATGTCATTTTGCCTATTTTAGGGCCTCTTCATGTGTTTCTGAATTCTCGTGAACTCATTTACAAAAAAAATTTTTTATTATTTAGTAACATCTACAAGAAAGTATTCGGAGCGAAGAAGAAACTTGGCCAGAAGCCACGACCATAGAGAATTAATTTAATTCTCCATATTGTACGCTTGGCATAGTCCAATATTGTGGATATGGTTTATTTGAAATTTGGATTTATGTGTAAAAACATTGAGTTTTTATATCTTACTGATTTATTTAGCAATTTAGTTCCCTTAGTTCTTGACGTTTACGCCGTACACCATTGGAGTGGAGATTGGCTATCATATGAGGAAGCATGCATGCGTGTTGGAGCAACCTTTTCCTATGATTCAATCGAAGAAATTATAAGCGCGCCCCTTAATATTTTTTTCAGATGTTTTTTATTGGATGGAGACTGGCTATCCAATAATGAATTTAATTACTAACCACCTTGCTTCTCTTAGTGATAGTCTCGTTGAAATTGCCTACAGTATTATTCGAAGACGTACAATTAAGTCTCATACAGCTGAGCAATTACAAAAAGAGGCGCATTTCATTTTCCAACAATGACATGACAATACCTTTCAACAAAATTTCGTGAATTCTGTGAAGTATCCGTATATACTGAAACAGTTAGATATGCTTTCTCAAAAATGTTCTATATTGCTTTTGGAAATATTTGCGAAAGTGTATCAGAATCGTGACAAACATCCTATTGTTAAATCCATAAGTGATGATGGTATCAATACATATGAGTTACCCTCGTTAGGATTTGAAATAATGGATCGTCACCTTCCGAGAGGTTTTGTTACTTTGAAAAAACCTAATGTGTCTTCTTTATGTGACTCATTGTATTGCGATAGGACCTACGATTTGTCCAATGGTTACGTTTTGGCGTGTGGGCATGGTTACCATAATCATTGCCTACAAAAATCTCACTTTAAATGTTCTATTTGTTTAGGTTATCTTCAAGGTGAAG